ACTCTTCGAGTTGACCTCGCCTAACCTATCTTTGTTTAAATGAGAATCTCTTACACATCGTGATAATCATGAAGCACGTAACAAAAATAAAAGGCAAACGCAATCCTCATTGTTTCCATTTTAGCTGGTTAATACGTTATCGCTAAGACCAGCCGATCTTTCTCGTTTTCATATTGTGGCATTTAAAATACCAGCAATATAGTATAACAGCTTCAGCGTCTTTTATCAGTATGTATAATCAAACGAACTAAACGAAAATTACGTATACATGTAAAGCAAATCAACTTTTTAATTACAGCTACATGATCTTGTATCGGTTGAGCTACAGAATAGTGGATTGGTAGTGTGTTCGGAGCTTATTAGAGGCAATAAAACAGTTCATATTTCATCGTCACATTGCGCTCCGCCGACGCCGTCACTCACACTAAACAAATTGCTGTCGTGTGCCTTATTACCCGCGAGGAATCGTGTTATCAGTCTTTCAGGGTTTTGATTGAAAATAATTAAAAACAGCCGATTTTGTTTCTCCGCTATATACTGGTAATATTACTTTACTCAAAAAACAATAATACCTGAAAACAAAAAAACACGCGTTGTGTAAACTATGATATCATGTACGAAATGACATGAACAAATATTTCATTTGTAAAGATATCGTTGGAGCTTCGTCTTAAGTCTTCGTTTCCTGAGATTTATCTTATAAAATGACTTGAGATCATGCTGACTTTTGGTGGCTATTTTAAAAACAATGAGGTTGAGTTATCATTAATATGTTGTTAAATTTTTGATAGAATATTATATACATTTCTTTAAATTTGGACGTGTAAGTTTATTGTATTCATGATATGGAATATCATATGTAATGTAGGTATTTATAAACTGCTAGAGTTAGCTATTCGTAAATGAATATACGTACCTAGTTACGGGCCCAATAATTCACTGCTACTGATACGAACATCTGTTAGTCCAGCTAAATTTAATTAATTCAGTGTAAGCTCTTTTGAATTTTGCTAAAACGTTCGCACAGTTTTATAATTAATGTAAAAGACGCTTTTTAATGCAGCAAGGTGTATTTTCGTTAAAATGTGTGCGACAAGCAAACATAAAAGTAATTTATTTTTAAATTATTATTTGATACGATTAGGGAACGATGAAATGACAACACATTACAATACGAGTTTTATCCTTATTACTGATGGACGCAGATATGAAGAAAGGGAGAAAATTTTCCGATTACTTATATCAAACCTTAAACTGTATGGATTCTAATTATGTTATATTAGATAACAAAGCTAAGCAAAGCGATCTTAAACTGTGCCTTTTGTTGTAAACAGTGCACCAAGATATAATTGCATAATAATTACGGGAATTAGAGTTTAGGACAGTAGTGTTTAGCTCAATAATGGCTAACTGATAGTGATATAGTAACCAGGTAAAATATTGTTCATGATATTAGTATATCTAGTCATTTGCTTGTACTGTTTTGTACTGTGCCCTAACATGAGTCTTTCGTGAGGTAAATAAAATGAAACATATTTCGGTTCCGAATAAATGTTTATTGGACAACTCGTGAAGCCGTTTAATACATCAACATTACTAATAAAATACAATAATTAATTACATTTTAATTTATGTTTAACTAATGTATGTTACACCAGCCCGACCTTACAGCTAAACATATAATCTCCATAATTTGTTTCTTAACTAGAAGGTGACACTTGTACGAATTTGATAAAAGTAGTTCTCAGTATCAAATTAACGTTAAAATGTTTCGAAAAGAATTTACTTTTTTGTTGCAGGTAAAGTTAAATAATTAGAAGGAACTGATACCGCTAACAGAAGGTAAAGTAAGTTATTCTGGAATAAAGATAAGATAGTTTATCGTATAATACATGATGTCCCGGTGTCTAGGCCTCGTCTTCTGTCGCGTTCTCTGAAAACAAAAAAATACGATTACTATATGAAACAGTATAATGATGTTTGTGCATATCCATCATAACATGCATCTACCGAGACTACAAAACGGGTGGGAGTGCAACTTTCTAAATGAAACTAAAAAGGTGTCAACAGATAACGTACATAGAATATACACTCATACATTATGGATATATTTATAATATGTTCCTAGGCCCGATATATTAGGGGTGAGTGCGGGGGTCGGGTAAAGCGATTGTTTTTCGCGCATCATTGGCGTTACATATTGAAACGATTTGACCCCAAACGGCGAGCCACTCGGTGGGTCGCCCGAAGCCTGATCGCTCCATCTGTTTCACAAACGGGTGCTGAGCGCCCGATTACTCCCAAAGCCGAATCTAATACCGTCCTAATAGATTTCTACTAATCTCATTGTTAGCACAATGTACATTATTTATTTAATCCACTTTAACGTATTCATTTAGGAACAACGGACATTAGTTATTTTGTCTTCGACGTCACTAAGTCCCCGCGATTCCCTTTTCTAACGGGATAATTATAAAAACTAATTGTAATACATATCTCGTTAATAATAGTATACACATCACTACGTATGCCTGTGTGCGGCTATTAATGAGTCACACATAGGGTCGCTTCAGGCGAGTATGTAAACATTATCAAGCGCTGTCAGGCCTCATTAAGATCGTCAGGGAGCCGCTCATTCGGTTGGAACCATTCTGTTAACGATTCTAAGACGTGTTGTTTCGGCATCAGCCCATCTAATTTTGAATGGTTACTATGTATATATTTAAGTATTATTATGGGCAAGCAAAGATTTGATTCAAATACTGTTTCGTACCTACTTAATTCAGCATTATAACAACATACCATACACACCTTTGAATATGTGCTATTCAATAAATGATTATTATACTGTAATTGATATAAATTTGATAAAGTATGATATGTACGATACATATAAGAATTGACTTTGACTAATAATGTAAAATGTAAAATTCCTTAAAACAAATTTGCGCCATTGTGTGTGGCAGAATATGCGAATGATTTACGATTGTCCCACTTATTATGATATTCTTGCAATAAATAAATTATTATTATAATATAATCCCGTAATCTTAGTATTATTCCTTAACAGGTCCACTGTAGCTTCCAAAGCGGTAAACTACCATATATTATATTAGAATCTACTGGTAAATGCAAATGATGCTATTTTACTCATAAAACAGAGAGCTTTGACTCAACGCCGGCTTATTTTCATTACAATTAACGTCACTTCCAGTGCTTAGAATTTGGGACGAGCACTTTGATTTATGAAAGTAAAATATTTTATACGGAAAGAGAAAAATGGGATCATTACCATAACAATACGAATAGCATTATCGGGCCTTTTAATTACTAATGACATTGTATCGTCAGCCATTGCGAGCGAGAACTTTGCGTTTTATTGAAGTTACATTAAAGGTATAATTATCCAGTGCATTAAATTCATCGTTCAGGCAAATAGGATGTTGCTGCCATATTTTAATTTTATTTACTATATACTTTTATTCAAGACTTCACTACTCACACTGCTAACTTTTACTAATATTATGTAATATTTTCAACCTTTTCTATTTTACATTCTTTTTCTGCGACTGAGGCGCAAACTAGCTGCTGTGGTCTCTGGCAGAATGACCAGCGCTGTGGAACAGTCCGCTCCTCAGCATAATGCTGAGCCAGGGCCAATTACAACCACAGCACACACGCATTACACACTTAAATGGTATTTTCATATTTTATTGTGTGGTTCTGTGTGTGTGTTTTATTAGTAATAAATGTTATGTCTATGTCTATATTGTTTACTTTTTATAATTTCAATTCTTTTCATTTTTCCTAACTGAAAGTAACTAAAGTTACTGTAAGACCCCATAATATTAAATCATTTTAAATGGGACCTCCATTCTCCAGATCCTCCTAAGAAGCTATCCCAGAATGTGTTTCACCTATGGTTATCCAAGGTAGTTTATGCCTTGAAAACTGTAAAATGCAAATTGTTTCTCAATCAAATTGACCCAATTAATTATTGGAATACGGATGAGTAACAACAATGTTGCCGAATGTAATCATAATTAAATTTAAAAGAAATAAATAAAGTGGCCTTAAAAATATTGACTATATTGACAAAAACTTGAATTTGCGTTACAAGTAATACAACACCAAAGTGTTGAAAATAGGGTTAATTGTCCTGTAAGTAAACTCTCGTGAGAGTAGATGTTTGGAATGGCGAAGTGCCAAGGATCCCGTGTTCGCCAGTTCGTCTGGCACCTGCCAGTCGGTGGTAACACTGATTGACTGCGCATTCATGCTTGGCACATTCACACAAGTCCTAATCTTTTGTCTTGTACATATTATAGGAACTAAGGATTTTTTTTGCAATCATTTTTAATTATATTTTGTGTATTAGTGTAGTGAGTCACTACAATGCACAAACACATAATGATATATCATTAATTGGAAAAAGCATTTCTTTGTATTGGGATTGCCTATTTCAAGCAAGTAGTAGATATTCTCCCTTCAACAAAGCTGCATCACGTTGACAACTTTCCTGCGATACCCGGCGCCCGTCAAAGTATCCAAAGCGCTTCTGTTTATTTAGAATACATTTGATTTAACGTGCGGGCTTTTAAACTCTAATTGAATTCTGTAAAGAGGATCATGATTTTAAATTAATTATCCTTCGACACCCACCGGTTTGAACCGTCAGCTATATTTATAAGTAAACATGTTATATATACTCCTTGTGTGAGAAGATAGAGATACATTGATTAAAGAAAATGTGGTGGTGAGTGCTATAAGTAGTGGATGGGTTAGTGATGGTGCTATGAAACGTATCTCCCAGAAACCCAACATAGGATTTACTAGGAGAAAGTGCTTGGTGCCGAAACGTTGCGAAATCTGATACACTAAGGCGATTGGCTAAGTGCGAGAGAATACTATTACGGGCAGTGCTAATTGCTAATCCTCTAAAGTCTAATCTAAATATGCAGTGGTGCAAATAGAGGCATAGATGCAGTAGACAGTGGGGCTTAAGTGTTACCGTGGTCCTCGTGCGAGGGGGACATCGATCGTTTGCCCCACATGCCCCTCAGGTTCGTCCAGCCCGGCTCGCGCTTCCAGTAATATGCTCCTGAGATTCACTCGCAAGTTATACTCACTATTACCATACAATATGGAGTTTATAGCAACTAGTTCGGTGTATCAACAAAGATCCAGTCGCACCCCTGAGACCGTTGAGTTCAAATTTCTTAAAGTTATCCTATATACAATAGTATATAATTAAATGATAATATTTTATATTAAAGGGTTCAACTGCGAAATGTCTACGCTAAATAATAGCCGAGTAATTAATCTAAGATCGCAGCGAGTACGGGAATAAATCCCAGCTTTCATGCCGCTAATTTATCTTGACGGCGAAAAACGAAACTTAACTTTCTTTCCTGCACTTTCTAACGAATTTCATCAATATTAAACTCTGTCTACTTGATATATTATAAAGCAGAGCATCGAAAACTTAGTAATTTTATTAAATGTGGTAAAACGAGAGATGAAGATTTTTAGGCGTTTTCTTTCGGAGCAACACTATTTACCAGTCTATGATATGGGAGACCCGCAACTGTTCTGTTCTTAGACAAAGAAATAGAAATCACAATTTATTAAAATACTTCTCATACACTCATTCAGATAACAAAATAAATAATTCACCGTTGTTATAGTGCGCCTGCTTGACGGGTCGCTTGCCCCAGGCCCCGTGGAGAGAAGACCACGCTCGCTTCTCCGGCGCCTCCGATAGTCCTCGCTGGTCGGCTTCCAACTATTACATATAATATTAGAATCTTGCGTTTCAGAAAATATAAGTCATTGAATAATATGAAGAGTACCGGTTGTAGCTGCTGTAAGGGTAGGCCGCGATCAGTAATGAGTTCATAGTCTTCATAGTCGGGCTCAGGTGACCGCTTGCCCCACGCCGCGTGCAAGTTAGCCCAGTTGTCCTGTCAAACATACTAAGAGATTAGCTTAAGTCAAGGAGTGACATAGCAGGTTTAGCTAGCATTCGATTTAAGTGAAAGTATGTTGGTAACTAAAGTAGGAACAGGTATGCTTACAGGTGTCCGTTTGCCCCACGCAGAGCTCATGTCTTGCCAGCCACGCTTGCCCCACGCTGAGCTCATGTCTTGCCAGCCTCGCTTTCCCCAAGCAGTGTTAAGGTCTTGCCATGCTCGCTTTCCCCATGGGTGTTGCGACATATCCGTCCATGCCCGCTTGCCCCACGCACCGTTTAGGTCTTGCCACCCTCTCTTACCCCACGCTGAGTTTAGATCCTGCCATCCCCTTTTCCCCCAGGCAGAGTTTAGATCTTGCCAACCCCTTTTGCCCCACGCGGTGTTGAGGTCTTGCCAGGCGCGTTTACCCCAGGCAGAATTGAGATCCTGCCACGCCCGCTTTCCCCAGGCAGAATTCAAGTCCTGCCATGCTCGCTTGCCCCACCCCCCCTGTAAACTTGTCCATGCTCGCTTGTCTTCTTCTGTTAATTGGATATCGTTGTCGGTCTGCTGGAGCAAAGTTGACAAATTATGTACAATATAGTTTAGTTTTATTATTTATTAATAGGTTTATGTAATGTTGTTTGCTTGTGGTCAGACAATAATTAATGAAATGAATAGCGCGTTATGTATTCGGTTACCGTCCGAGCTATAGCCGAGCCGGGGGCAATATCCATCAGATACGTCTTCGATTAAACTGAGATTATTGTATAATTAGAATGAAATTAGTTTAGCGGCGGTATTGGAGCAAAGCTCTTTGAATTATATTGCGTACAAAAATCCTGGGAGCCGGCGACGCGTGAGCCGCCTCACAAGTTGTTCAATCAAATTGTTTTCGCGCGGAATCTTAATCAGTTTACTTTGCTGAGGTTTAAACACACTTTTCTTACAAGTAAATGCCTCACGCTTTTTTTACTAACATTACCTCTCTATTATAGATAGTAAGTAACATTGACAATGTAAAAGTTGGCTAATTGACCTACATTACTCAATGGTTAATATTTTAACGTCATTTATTTACAGGCTTTCATCAAGTCATAGGCTGGGGGGTGCGTATTTCAATGAATGAGGAGCCCAGAATTAGACATAAATTACGATTTCTGAAGAGATATGAGAATGCGGGCGCGAGGTGTAAGATGGTAGAAGAGAAATAGGCTAATAAGAGACGATCTCCCATCTGTTGGACTGGGGGGGAAATTGTTTAACGACACTGATTTATTCGCGTTCTGCGTCGTGGTTGTGTATTCTGTGAATATTTTAATATCACCCGCTTTCTTACAACGCTTTTTATATAGCCGTTACGTGCTTTGAAAATAATTAAAGTGTATTTTTTTGAATAGAAAATACAAACATTATATTTCGATGAAGTAGTCATAATTTTTCTTATATTTTGACAGCGTCAGATTAAAGTTAGAATTATAATCGTAGCGTTAAGATTTTTTAAAGCCTATACGTAAACTGTAATAGGCAAGGGCAGCACAATCCGGAAGAGTTGTCTTTGGACCTTAATTCCCAAGTTAGGCAGGTAATGTTGTTTACATTCACTTCATCGTCATACATACATCAGTTTTAATCTAAAAATCGAAGAACCAGTCTGAGTTAAGTTATTCTACGAGTTTTCATACTCGTCATTTAAAAATCACCATTGTGTCTGGCAATCATTTGCAAGACTAGAAACTATATCGTTATCTTTAAAAGCACATGTATTATTTACTTTTTAAAAGTTTGCTGAAATTTGTTCGTATCAAACTACAGGATTGTATCAACATAAATAGTGAGGAAACACAATATATGTATATGTATCTGTGATGGGTGAAATTGATACATGAGGTCCGAATAATAATTAAGACCTTGAGGTTAATTAAACAACAAAATTTCTCAAACGGGTTGCAAAAGATCTAAAAATAATTTACTAATTTAGTTTTCAACATTTTGTGAAGAATATTATAATTTAGGATTCCCGGCTACATACACAACAGAGGTTTTGTTGACAGCTTTTGTGCTAAAAGATGTATTGTAATAGCGAATGGCCCGTGAAGTAACGACAAGTTTGCTCATTCAGGTTCCGAAGGGTCATGCGTCTGACAGTAATTGTTTAAAACAAAAGTGACATTCGGTGGTCATGTTTGCCTATGATAATTAGATTGAAAGTATAATTGTAAGCGTCTTTTGGTGACATAAATTGTGGCTCGATCCTTTCGTATTTGAAGTAAATGGTAGTGATTACCTGGGGTGGTGTGTCGTGAGACTCGGCGGCAGCGACGGCAAGCGTCGCAAGAACGGACAAACACAGCGCCGCCACACAGCGCATCTGTAACATTTGCAAACGTAATCTTAAACTTCATAAAACTTTCGAATGTAAGTTTTATGAAGATATATTCTATGAAGTCCGAGCAAATTAAGAACCAGAATATTTTCTATCAATTGAATGTTTTTAGCTGAAATTGCTTATTGAAATATACAGTGTCAACTCTTTATAACGAATTTCAAGGGACCGAGCATTTTTATTCGTTATAGAGAGGTTTGGTTATAGGGAGCGAAGAATTAAGGTTTGGGAGTTGGGTTAAACCAAATAAATTTACTGATTTTTACGTTACGGGTTAAAGAGTTTTTCATTGTAACCAATAACTTTTAGTGGTTTACTCTGTAATTATTATTATTGACAATGACAGAACGTTTAATTTTGAATTGATAATTTAAAACAAGATATTCAAACATTTTCAGGTTGTTTACGGGTTTCGGGTAAAGAATGTTAATTAGTAAAATGTTATCAGGATGTTCAGGATGCGAAATCCACACATAGCTGACATATTCTAAAACTTATAAACAAAGAGCTTTATTACATTTAAAAGTAGTTGTTAAGCACTCAAAAAGAAATGAACATAGAAAATAAGGCTTTCAGGGTATATATAAGGAATGCTTTGTTGTACCAAGCTTTTGTTTTTGCAATTGAAAACAAATAAAATGCTTTAGAATTTTCCTTTATGACGAAATGCGGAAATAGTTTTCCTCCTTCTTTCTATATTCATAGCACTTTAAAGATAATTTAAAACACTTTGTTTGGACAGGGAAGTTGGTACAGCTGAAAGTAATTAAACGGAAGTGTTCGACAGAGTTTGTATGTAAATACGAATTTCGGAATAAAATAAAAATAAAATGTTTATTATGGAACATAAGATACATGTATCACTTATTCCACGTCATTAAATTTGAATTTGTAGGCATCCCTACTCATCGGCAAAGAAGACAGAGGGTGTAGGCCGAGAGAAAAAGCCGGCGTTAAAAACTCTCGGTACTCTTTTAAAATAGAAAATCATCAAACAACACTTATTTTAAAACAAATATCGCAAATTAATTAGAAGTAGCCTGTCTAGCACTAGTCCCAGGCCCTTTTATCAACTAGATAATCGTTAACTTTATAGTAAGTCTTTTTACACAGCTTTTCTTTAATACATTTCTTAAATTTATTAAAAGGCAGAGATAAAAGAGCCTCTGGGATTTTATTAAAGAAGAGTATCTCTTTTCCCAAAAAAGAATTACTAACTTTAGATAGTCTAGTACGGGGAAATTGCAGCCTGCGTTTGTTCCGTGTATTAGCATTGTGCGTATGTTCTATTCTAGTAAACTTATCACTATTTTTGTATACATACATAATATTTTCATAAATATATTGCGAGGGAAAGGTAAGTATATTAATTTCCTTGAATTTATCTCTAAGAGATTCCCTACATTTTAAATTATAGATTGCATGAATAGCCCTCTTCTGCAGGATGAAAATAGTTTCGACATCAGCAGCATGACCCCATAATAATAAGCCATAAGTCATTAAGCTAAGTAACTAAAATAAACAAGTCTAGCTATATCGACATCAGTTAGTGAGCGAATTTTTTTAACCGCGTAGTTTTAATACGAATCAATTCAACCGATCGGTGCTTCACTACGGCGTTATGTATCCAAAATATGTACAAGAGATATATTTGTTTAAAAGAGAATAATCGAACCCAGAAATCCATACACGGCACGGTTTAATTCCCTAGGCCAATATTCTATAAAAAGCGCCAGCTGCACTATCCATTGTAAGTTGATCTGTTGCACTTCAATGGGATTACTTGAGGCCGTTGTCGTTGTCAAACGACTGGAACACGTGAGAGGTCAAGCTTTGATGGTCTTTACCTACGTGTCATGGAGTTGTTATTGTTCACAGTGAACGATACGATATCGCAATCAACACATTATTATTATTAATAGAGATACATTCAAAGATATAACGAGGAAGCAACCTAATACTTAAACATAAAGAACCGAAAAAATCCTGTAGGACACAGAGTCAAGCAGGTAAAAAGCATTGTTCGGGAGAAATGTCGTATATTGCGATATAAAAGCAGACTTACATTTTGTATTTATAGAGTGATATCGATCAGCCTCATACACATAAATCTCATAGGTATAAATAAGTATCTGATGTAGGTTAAACCTGAAGATACCCCGATTGCGTCACAGGCCTCTTTATAGAGCCAACTTATATATTTACTTAGTTTTATTCCGCGGCGAAACGCTGTAGGTTGGATGCCTTCTTTGTATAATTAATGTTTCAATTGAATCCACACGGAGCCGAAACGGGCTGTTGGGACGGTCGCAAAAAAATCAAGTAATTAAAAAACGATTGTACATATAAACTTCTTTTTAATTTTAAAAGCTAAAACCGAATCGTTTAATTCTTGCGGTTTCAATACATAGAGCAGAATATAGAAACTATATATATATATATATATATATATATATAATTTTAGTTTATTATTCATACTGTTAATAAGTTTCGGCTAATCACTAATACTTAACTAATTTATTAACTACTTATATAACTATATGTAGTTAGGAATGGAGTACATATTGAGTGAATGACATTTTAATAATAGTTTTGTATTCAATTTGACAAAAGATTTTAGTAAAATCTCAATGAAAGCATCGCTCTGAACGTGACCTTCAATATTCATCAGTTGGCACATTAGCATTTCATTTAATGCTTTCAACGTCTACAACATATGAATGCAATATGTCGTAGTAATAGCACATGATTTAGATTATATGAACCGTTCAAGTTTCCAGATCACGAAAAGGTTAACAGTTTTGCTCTTCATCCGACTGTTTTAGGTGAGCTAGAGTAACTTTAGCTACTTGATGTAAATGACATGAGGAAGTCAATTTCGTTGTGGGCTCATTCATATTGACTTCTATGCTGAGGGAGTTAGTCGTATAAAAATCCACTTACGCATACATTTCTAACATTCCAGATAATTCATCAAAGGGCTTCAATATGGAATTAAACTTGTAAACTCACAATTTAAGGCACAAAGCGAGCACCTCGTTTGACCTCTACTCAAATTTGAAAGGACCCGCAAAGTTAATGACAATATTCAAAATCAGTACAACTTTAATGAATCGTTTAATTTACTTTAGCTCAGTATTAACAACGTTTTTTCGGAATAATCAAATTAAACTTACAAATACAGAAATTGAATACTCAATAAATGACGTGATGAAGTGGCTAATAAATTACGAATAATTTCAACGTGTTGTATAATTATTAAATTAATCTATACGTCCAGCCAATTAAATGTTGTATTAATAATTACACAACAAATTTTAACTTTAAAGAACAATATTCTTTATACAAGGACTGGGTAATAGAAATACAATTTTACTAATATTTTTAAGGCATCTACGCCGTAGCCACGTAGCAATAGCAATCGCTTCTTACTTAACGTTTTGTAAAGGGCTTTTAAAGGCTAACAAGGAAATCAGTGATGCGTAATTACCGACTTTAAAGTTCGACATATGTCTTTGACTTAAAGGCGAAATATTACCAAGTCTACCAGAAGCAAAGGACTATTTCACGTTTACGTTGCTAGTAGGCCTGTAGACGTACAAAGACTTATGAGAAATGTTAGTAGTGTATAACAAATGCCAAATATATGAATTATGTAAATGAACATTTTTGTAATACATCAGCTGTAATAACATATTATTAGAGGCTGTCTCATGCCTCGACTAAACTAGGTAGTCGTAACGTTTGTAATAGATTATTTTTGTCACCTTTTCTCTTGCTGGATGTGGAAAGGAACACCCTTGTTTTAAGATTACATAATTATATACGACTCTGTATATAAGTATGGAAACTATACTACTACTATATGTATGTGTATTCTTGCAAATAGTATGTCCATTTCCTTGGTGGGAACAACAACATACTTGGCCAGGTCAAGTGCTCACGAAAGGCGGAGAATTGGGTCGATATCTATGAATTACTAAACATCTTCGATTAATTAAATAGTACCTATACATCAAGTATATTTTTAAAAGACAAAACTGCAACTGTGTACTTTTTTAGCCAGTAATAAATAAGGACTAATAAGATACTAACAGCTACCACTTTAGATGAATTTATTCTAGACTTACAGATACTTTGATTGAATGGTTCCTGTGAAATGTTTTTATCATATCATAATATTATCTTTGAATTATGCATCAATTTTGAGTAAATGTATATATTTTGTGCATTATACTTTTAATCGGCTAAGTATGATTAAACTGTGCTAAATAGGACTCGACAAATTATAATGTCGGTTTAATAATAAACATTTAATTTCGATTAAGGTCTACGGGCAGGCTTAGCGGAGATTACGAGTTTGGGATGGTGGCTTTCTGTTTGTAGACCGCCTAACTTTGTGTCGAAGCTTTGCTGCTGTTAGGCCGTAATCAACGTTTCATTTACTACTTTTCGAGTGATTCATTATTTTCACATGACACTGTTCTTTTAGCTACATCAAAAATCAGTTCAGTTAAACAGTAAGTAATCGATGTTCAAATCTCACGCAACCGAGGATTGTGTAAAAAAACAAGTAAATTATAAATAATGTTTATGAGTGTTTAATCGCGCAAACCCGGTGGGGCAAATTTAACTGCGCGCCTCGAGCCCGCTCTAACCTAATTTGCAGCGAGATTATTGCGAATTGCCGGAATTATATTTCTTGCTACATTTCCATTTCGAGACATAACCCCTCGTCCGCTTCCCTTACTATTAGATCAATGAAAATTTCCTCTATCGTTGTTCTGAAGCCAGAAGTAGGAATTAATAATAATAAATAATAATTAAATTAAATAATTCTTCCGTTATAAAATTGTTACATGTAGGTCACGTTTTCGAACGAGTCTTACGTTCAAGTGTGTCTCATCCTTGTCGAGACGTCATTGATTGAGGCATTCACGCATTATCGACAGCGCGTACGTGGCAAATACACAGTAATCGTGTCA